TCCTTCCGGGCGCGGGGAGCCTACTTACCGGAGGCGGGCATGGCAGAGCCGGCTGAGTTCCGGTCACTCTGCGGGGGACGCTCCCAGGACTGAGCGTGCATTTTCACTCCGAGACGCCAAGACGGAGCACACGCGCGGGTGGGCAGAGCAGGGGACGGAGCGAGGTGGGTGGGACCCGACGCCCAGCGGCGAGCTCGGGAGCCGTCCGAGCGGAGAGGTTGGGTGGCCCGTGGCACGCACTCGCGGGTGAATTAAAACCCTCAGGGCCTTTCCCAGCCCCTGGAGCCCCAAACACCCTAAATCTGCCCCTTCTCGGGCCCCGCAGAACGTTAAAGCCCGCCGCAGCTGCGGTTCTGCTTGTGTAAAGGTAACCAGGCTCGTTCCTGGGACGCTTTGCTGGGGGGACCGTTTCTCCTGCCTCTGCGATGTCTTTCCCAGGTGTGAGTCCCGGGGGAAAGCAGGCAGGGACGGGGCTTGAAGAAAACAAGACCCAGCGAGGTGGGCTCTCAGCGACACCCTGGACCCAGATAGTTAAGACCTGCCCAAGTACAGCTGAGCATTCCCTTCTGACATCAAATATTTTGCTGTTACACAATTCTTCAGATTTATACTTTTTTGCTTTTTATTTAAACATTGATAAAGTGGTCTAATTCAAATAAGCCACCTTTCACCGATGAAGATAAATCCATTACTTTTTTGTTTACAGTGAGCTAATTTAGCAATGGAGTATCCTTTAATGCATATACAGTGTAGATATTGAGGGATATTATGTAAAACTTGCTAAAATTATTGTGCTTTTGCTTCTACTCTTAGGAAAATGTACTTCAAAACTGTAGTAGTACTTTGTATTTCTAGAATTTAAACTTAGATAAAGATAAAAAATAGAGACCACAAATAATTTTTATCACTTCTAGAGCTCCTGCTTTGCATTGGGCACCATGCTAGGACTATCATAGTTAATTCTTTAAAATTGGAGTGTCCCATTAGAAGACCCCCCAACTCAGACTTCTTTGTCGCCACCCCTTCTTGGGCGATCTATCTAGTCTGTGGCAGTACATGCCCTTCTGTTCATAGACTGCACACTTGACATCTCCAGCTGGATTTCAAACGCTCCGAGGCTGCTTCTCCCCACGGCTAAACTGGAGGGGAGAAGAAATGTTGCTTCAAAGTAAGGTATTGGCAGAGGGAATAAGGTAGGGGATATAGATGAAACAAGATTGGTCATAAATTGGTAATCATTGAAGATGGTTGATGGGTACATTAGAGTTCATCATACGATTCTTTCCATTTTTTATTATGTTTGAAAATTTATATTTAAAAAGTTTAATTAAAAAATAATTTAATTTCCTGTATCTAGAATTTGACCTCTTCTTGCTATCTCTATTGCTACCACCATGGCCTGCTCGATTATTTCAGGGGCCTCCTAGCTAGTCTCCGTTTTCACCCTTGTCTCACTGGCCTTAATAGTTCAACATGCCGGGCACTCCTAACAAGACATTTGCACGAGCTGCTCCATCTACCTGGAATGCCTTTCCCTGGAATAGCTGCCTAGCTTCCTCCTTTATCTCCCTCATTTCTATATTCAGGTATCTTGTTGCCTATGAAGACTTTCCTGGTCATTCTATTTAAAATTGTAACATCCTGCCCATGGTGCACACCTTATCCCCTTTCTTAACTTTGTTCCTGAGCATTCAATCTATTTCACTTCCCTTGTCTACTATCATCTGTCTCACTGGAAGGCAAAGGTTTCAGTTGGCTTCCTTCACTGATACACTTTCAGCATGGTACACAGCACTGATACCCCTAGTACATAGCAGGTGTTCAGTAAATATTTGTTGAATGATCAATCTCCATTTTACAGAGTAAAATAAAACAAGCCTTAGGAATTTCTAAATTGTTCAATATTATAAGGTGGGATTAGCCTTTTAAGTTTTGATGCCACATACACACACAACTAAATTTTAAAAAGTAAAGACAAAAAATAAATTTTGATGCTACTTCCATAGTGCCAAGTACAATGTCATGTGCCCAGTGAGTCTCCAAGTAAATATACATGTAAGCAATTTGAGGGAGAAATTCATGTGCTATAAACCTAGTTACATTAGCAGATACTTTCATTCTTTTTGTATTTGTGTCCATGAAGGAAATCAATAGGTTTAGTAAAAGTACTTTTTCTGTGCCCTATTTTTTGGGTGGATTGAATACCCTGTAAGGTAACTTCTGAGTCTCTCCATGGCAATAGCAGTGGCATTTAGATAATTGTTCTGAAAAGAGTGATATGCATGGTCATTGCTGCTGCTCTGTGTTGTGCTTTCGGGGAATCTATACTTTTGGTGATATTTTTTCTCTGAGAAATCAGTTTTTAAAATCTAATATCAAGTATTAATATTTCAGAGTGGCAGAAGCAATGCCCCTAAACCGACTTTCCTGGCTTAAGAAAGAAAGGGGCTCTTCATTCCCTGTGTTTAACAGACTGCTTCTTGGGGCCATTCATTCCAAAGCAGATTTGAGTTCATGAAAATGAAGAGTATGTACTGACTTATCATTTTTCTGTTTGCTCAAACGTAAATATTTAGATTTAGGTGTTTGAGGAAAAGACCCTACTTGGAAAGTGGTAGCATCCTGTCTTGTTAAAATTTAGTCCTATTTTTGTTTTTTTAGATTTTGTTGTTTACAGAGCTCATACATAAGTTAGACTTATAAATGTTTCATTCAGGGCTAAGATTTAAGTTTTTGATTGCCCTTAAAATTGTATAGAATGGCCGAAACCGGTTTGGCTCAGTGGATAGAGCGTCGGCCTGCGGACTGGAAGGTCCCAGGTTCGATTCCGGTCAAGGGCATGTACCTGGGTTGCAGGCACATCCCCAGTAGGAGATGTGCAGGAGGCAGCTGATCGATGTTTCTCTCTCATCGATGTTTCTAACTCTATCTCTCTCCCTTCCTCTCTGTAAAAAATCAATAAAATATATTAAAAAAAATTGTATAGAATGATGATTATGTCCCTGGCTAACATAATTGTTATATATGTTTAAAATACACAAATTTATGTTATTTTATAAATCATAATAGACATGATCCTATCGGTTTCCTAAATGTGATCATTTGCTGCTGAGTAAATAAAATCAGCATTGAAATAATAAAAATAATAAAAAACTAAGCATAAGTGATATCTAATCTTGGCCACAGGTGTAGAAATCACAAATGTCTTCAAAGGATGGGAGATCCAGGAATCGAGACAGGCACTACAATGAGGTCCCCAGGGACTTGGCCCATGAAGATGGCACCATAAGAACCCTCCAGACTCTCCGTGACAGTGAGCTGGCTGTGAGCGCTGATCCTTTGCCTCCACCCCCTCTCCCATTACAGCCACCATTTGGCCCTGACTTCTACTCAAGTGACACAGAGGAACCGGCCATAGCACCAGACCTCAAACCCGTAAGGCGCTTCGTCCCTGAGTCCTGGAAGCACTTCTTCAGAGGGAAGAAAAAGGACCCAGAATGGAATAAGCCTGTGTCAGACATCAGATACATCTCAGACGGAGTGGAGTGTTCGCCTCCATCCTCTCCAGGGAGACAAAACCACCACTCACCCCCCAACTCCGACAAAGATCCTTACGGAGGGTCAGAAGGAACCTTTAATTCCCGGAAAGAGGCCGAAGCGATGCTTCCCCAGGATCCCTATGGGTCTCTGGGCCGACACACACAAACGGCTCTAACGTACAGTGAGAAGGTGGAGGCCTACAACCTGAGGTACTCCTACATGAAGTCGTGGCCTGGCCTGCTGAGAATCCTCGGGGTGGTGGAGCTGCTGCTGGGGGCGGGCGTCTTCGCCTGTGTCACAGCTTACATTCACAAGGACAGTGAGTGGTACAACATGTTTGGCTATTCCCCGCCCACGGCCATGGGAGGCTTTGGTGGCCTGGGCAGTGCATATGGGGGCTACTACTACAGTGGCCCCAAAACTCCTTTTATACTCGTGGTTGCTGGATTAGCTTGGATCACCACCATTATTATTCTGGTTCTTGGCATGTCCATGTATTATCGGACCATTCTTTTGGACTCTAACTGGTGGCCCCTGACTGAGTTTGGAATTAACATCGCCTTGTTTATTTTGTATATGGCTGCAGCCATAGTCTATGTGAATGATATCAACCGAGGTGGACTCTGCTACTATCCAGTGTTTAATACACCAATGAATGCAATGTTCTGTCGGGTAGAAGGAGGACAGACAGCAGCGATGGTCTTCCTGTTTGTCACCATGATTGTTTATCTCATCAGTGCTTTGGTTTGCCTCAAGTTATGGAGGCATGAGGCAGCTCGGAGACATAGGGAATACATGGAACAACAGGAGGTAAGGAATTTCACAATCTTTGTTTGTTTTTTGTGGTTTTTTTTTTCTGTTATTTACTCCCTTGTTAAATATGTATAGTTCTCAAAACAAGGATTTTATAGAAGCCTTTTTTTTTTAATGATCTGAAGTTGAAAAGCTCCGTATCTGACATGGTAGGACTGGAATAGCCCACTCAGCAGTGTCACTGTTGTGTGGCATTGCAAGTAGACACCAGATGTGTAACATAATACAGAGCTTGTTGGCTGCATTATTGTGTCTCTCTGATGCTTAAGGGAAAACACAGATACTGAATTCCTGCTAAGAAGAATAACAACATGCTCAGTAAATAAAATGTCTCATTATTAAAGTAAGTTAGAGAACAGTCTTGATTCTTCAGTATGGTAAGACAGTAAAAAAATTATAATTTTTGTTAGAGGAGCAAAGTGCTCATTTAAATCTGTTACCATGAGTCCCAGTTTCTTCCACTGAGTTAAAGTCAAGTAAGAATATGGTGAACCACATATGATTTTCTAAGTATCAAGAAGCTAAGTTGTAATAAACATACCCTGAAAACTTACCCAGGCGTTTTGATGTTTCATCCTTATTTTAGGGAGATGAGTGTTCCAAAATTAGAGTGGGATCCATGTACTTTATTTCATTTCTAGGATTTAACTATTTAAATATATGGAAGAGAAGGAGGAGGAGAATTAATAATACCTACAGAATAAGATTGTATCAAAGCCTTATTTAAAATAATTTTATTTTGTTATGAGTATGTTCTACTAGCTTCAATATGCCCTGAAATAAGCTAATGTCTTGCTTTCATCTTTTTTGTTTTGTTTTGTTTTTGTCTTCTAAGGAGTAGTGTGTAGTAGAATTTCCTATAACACTGAAAATGTCTTATTACTTTAACTTTTTTCTTTACTTCAAGTTAACTATATTTGCATCTTTTCTCGCTTTTCTAAAAATCTCCTAGATACATAATTGCACATAGTGTACAGGGATGGGCAAAAGTAGGTTGTAATACAAATAAATAATATAATAATTAATAAATAATAATAAAAGAATAAACTGTTTCAAGTACTCACAACTGTACGCTTACTTTTGCCCACTCCTGTATATTGGGCAAAACTATAGATAAAGTAAAGTCCTGTCCTTAATTACTGGATGAGCTATTTGTTTACCCATTGATTTATATGGTTTGTTTTTATTCTTTTGCATGAATCTTATGCATAACAACTACAAAAAACTTGAGTAAGTTTATATCAAGAACCTTCTTCTTTTGTTTTAATTGGTAAAATTTTTATTTGGGAAAAATATATCCAGTACCTTATGTAATATGGAGAACCTCAGCATGTTTCAATGTGATCCATACTCTTTTGTCACAAAATATATTAATCTTACTAAAAGCTTATTTGGGCATTGTTAAGCATATTCTTAAATTTACATCTGTGGATACAAAGTAAAGAACTTGTATACAAAGGAAAGAATTTCAATCAGTTTGAAATCTGGATAGTGAAACATACATCCTCATAATTTTAGGGAAATTTAATAACAACAGAGTTCTTAATGTCATTTCAAAATTCTACATTAATAGTATCTGTAATTATCAGCATAATTCTTTCATTTTCTGATAAAAACTTATTTCTATCAGACTTTTCATAATAGGTGATTGGACTTGTATCACCTCTGATGTTACTGTAACTTCCTAAAAGGTAGAGATATAATGGCCTGTGGCTTTTTTCTGTTAACTTTATAATGTAACTGTCTCAAACTCTTTAATTGTGCAAGGTAATGGGAGCCAAGAATAAAGAAAATCTCTAGGTGATTCAAAGCAACTTACCTAAGTCTCTACCATCTCCATATTTCCAACTGCTCTTTGTCCCTGATTGACAAGGAATCACCCTTACCCCATCTCCTCTGGTTCTCCACTGGCCCATCGACACGTGGCCAAAAGTAGGAGGAGCATCTGAAAAGTAGAGAATCAACCTCTGTAAAATTGAGATTGGGCTAAATGCAAATGGATGAAAATATTTGCAAAGTAACTTCACATGCCTTTGAAAAATCATGTTAACTCTTTTTGTTCCAGATAAGTGAACCATCATTTCCATCGAAAAGAAAAATGGTAAGAAAAAAGTTCACATTGTATTTTATCTCTATAGATTTGTTAAATACTTTTCTCTCTTGTCTATAAATCTACAGAGTAGATCCTCTTTCTCTGAAGGTGTATCTATTACACTGAGTTCATAAGAGGACTTTCAGGTTTTTTCTAATACGTAAAGGACCAAGTTAGATAAGGCTATTAATAGCTGCTTTTACTTTTGTTAGATGAATAATTATGCAAGTGAACTGTTGGTTCTTGTATGTTTAAATTTTAATCTTTTAAAATAAAGGTAATTCTCCCAAGCTTTCTGCAGTCTCTTTAAAGTTCTTTCAGATGCCAAATTTTGTTGAGTCAGGAAAGAAATTTCTATTCCACCATTTACTAATTGTGTGGTGGTAAGCAAGTATTGAAACTTCTAATGCTTTAGTTTCTTCATCTATAAAATTGGAATAATAATAATTTCTACCTCGCATGATTGCTGAGATGATTAAATGAGATTCTATTATAATTATTTACATATATGTAATAATTTAATATATTTTAATCATAATTTTACCTCATTGAAAAGTTCTTTTTTAAGATATTGGGTATTACTTCTAAGCAAAAATTGAGAATACAGTTTATCGATTTGTTTCTTTCTTTGAAAAGGGAGTATATTCACTTGGTCCAAAATTCAAAAGAAGCTCTAATACAAAGTCTTCTCTCCTATATTTGGCTTTCCAGTTCTCCTGCTTGCAGACAGCCAGTGTTATTAGTGTCTTGTGTTTCCTTTCAGAAATGTGTTATGTATACATTCGCTGTCCTCCCCCTTTTACACAAATGGTAGCATACCACCTACACTGTTATGTTCCTGACTTTTTCCACTTAACAATACATTTCTTTTTTAAAATATTTTTTTATTGATTGATTGTTAAAGAGAGAGAATAAGTGAGAGAGAAAAGCATTGGATTTGTTTTCCACTTAGTTATGTATTTATTGGTTGCTTCTTGTATATGCCCTGACTGGGGATCAAACCTGCAACCTTGGCATATCACGATGATGCTCTAACCAACTGAGCTACCCGGCCAGGACAAACAATACATTTCTAAGATGTTTCCTTATTAGTACATGAAGAACTTCTCCATTCTCTTTTTACAGTGCAGTGTGATGCAGAGAAAATAAACTTTGGGATCAGGCAAATCTGAATTGGAATACAAGATCAGCTACTTAATAGCTCTGTGACCCTGGGGAAATTACTTACCATCTCTGAATTTCAGTTTTCTGTCACTTGTTTGGAACTATCTATTAGGCTATTCCTTCTTTGGTATTTTATTTTATTTTTTTAGAGCTTTTTATTATTATTATTGATTTTTAGAGACAGAAGGGAGATGGAGAGAGAGAAACATCAATGTGAGAGTGAAACATTCATTAGCTGCCTCCTGCACACCACTCCCTCTACCGGGGATTGAGCCCGCAGCCAGGGCATGTGCTCTGATCAGAAATTGAACTGGCAACCTTTGGGTGCATGGAAGGATGCCCAACCAACTGAGCCACACCAGCCAGGTATTTTAACAGCTATAATTTATAAAGAGCAAATAAGATAATTTAAAAAATAATAATATATAGACATACACTAAGATCAAATAGAGACAGAAACTAATTCTAATACATCCCTAAATGCTGAGCAGATTTTCTTTTTCAAGCTAGAAAAGCCAAAATCTAATCTGAGCATCGAAAGTAATGGTGTGGGTTTGGGATCGGGGGCCTATGCTTCATTACATTATACTCTCAGAAGGAGAGAAAATTGGGAATTGGGCAGATGGACACTGAAACACTTATTTAGCTTGCCCTATTTCTAACCTAACAGAATATTCATTCAGCCCCCTTTTTTTCATTCAGCCCATTTTTAATTTGAGAGGCTTAGTAATTATATCCAAAGCATTACTTATCCCGTTGCTTAATTACCTTCTCTTGCCTCACAATAAAGCTTTTCTGAAATTTGCTGACAAAACTAGTTTTTGTGAAAAGCAAAGAGAGGCCCTATGTGGGGGCTTGTGTTTGTAATCAGAACACTGCTTGAGCGTGGTCTGGCCCAGGGCTGGAGCCAGTGCATCCGTCCTGTGAAAGCTTAAAGTGGTTTTGATTCTTTGTCTCAGGTCCAGTTCCAGACCTTTTTCCCCAACACGGTTTTCTGAACGGATGATTAATGAGGTTCACCCTAAAAGAGTGGAAGACAATGTTAGGAGCATAAAAACAGAAACTCATTGAAGCAGACGAAATAGTCTTTGTGGAAGTGTTCTGGCTTCTTAAAACTCCCTCTTTATATTAAAAGGTAAATGTCGGAAATAGGGATAGTAAGGAAAATGAGTAGTTCCTGCTTGAAAAAACTTTACCAGGAAAAGCCAAACCTCCCATGGACTGTCCTGCCCCATGTGAGGGCCTGCTCAGAGGTGGTCTGGTTCCCCTTCACCTAGTACCTGGGCTGCAGACTTCTCCTTTTCTTTTTTTTCTTTTCTTTTTTAATATATTTTTTGGATTTTTTTACAGAGAGGAAGGGAGAGGGATAGAGAGTTAGAAACATCGATGAGAGAGAAACATCCATCATCTGCCTCCTGAACACCCCCTACTGGGGACGTGCCCAAGGTACATGCCCTTGACCGGAATCGAACCTGGGACCCTTCAGTCTGCAGGCCGACGCTCTATCCACTGAGCCAAACCGGTCAGGGCCAGACTTCTCCTTTTCGTAACCCTCCCCTGGTTAGCAGCCTCGGAGTCTGATCCTCTAATCTGGCTGCGAGGTTTGGTGAGTTAGGAGCTAGTGGTTTTTACAATGAGCTAATGTTAGACCAAACCTCAAAGGCAGCCTTAGAGATAGAAAATCAAGAAACAAAGGATTTTAAAAGCTGCCTGGCATGGTTTTAAAATCTCATTTGATATTTGTTTTCAGTGAAGTAGGGGCCCTCCCGAGCTACTCTCAATTTAGTTTAATTTAACAAGCATGAGCCAGGGGTCCATGGGGGCAGAGGAGGGGAGCTGACCGCCCTGAGGAGGAATCAGTGTGCCCAGCTCAAGTTCATTCCTCCAGCAGGATGGCATTGCCCGCCCCACCCTGCTCAAACTCCTTTCTGGCATGCTACCAGAACTTCAGGGAACTTAGCGATTGAACAATATACAATTAAGTAGACCATTTCCTTGTATTACTCATTTGAAGTATCAGTGAGCCAAAAAGTTCTGGGTTTTAATTGTGGCCTTTGCACGCCACAGCTGTGGGACCTTGGAGAATGTACTAAACCTCTCTGAACATGGCTTCTATGTGGAAACCCCTTTCCTGGCATCCACCAACCTGACCAACTTGTTCGGTGTTCTGGGCACTGCTTGGTGGGGTCTTGAACACTCTTTTCCCAGCCCCAAAGCTGCGTATCCATCTTAGCCGTCCTGGTCTAGGGCAGGTTCGTGGGCCTTCCACTCCCTCTGCCCTTCTTTCAGCTATTTTAGCTCATAAGGCTTGTCCCCCATATTTCCTCCCTGGGCCACTTCATCTTATGTTCTTTTCCTGTCTTTTGAATGTACCATTTTTTACTAAAAAGGCCTCTGGAGCTCTCCAGGGTAGAAACCAGGGTGACTTAAACCACCACCTCCAGGATCCTTACGGTCTCTCAGGGAATCGCAGGTTAGGGACACATGGGCAAGTTAAAGGCATCCAGCACCTCCCCTCCGGATTCGTTGCTTTCCTTTCCGATAATGAAAACAATGCAACATGCATCCCTCTCTGGCCTACTCAGTGGCTACTTGTAATTCATTCATCTCAGGTTCTGGTGTCATTCTTTCTAATTCCACTTAAGAAGACTTGTTCCATTTTTGTTCCCTGAATTTCTTATTTTGGATTACATTTTTTATTCTTTTACAATTGGTTGGGTGTATAAATCCTAAATAAATAAAGTACTTAAGACGCCCACACCCACCGTGTCATCGTCCACCTTTGACATACACATGATTGGGGTTGGAGGGTGTTGTACCTCTTACGAGCTCTCCCATATCTCAGTGTGTCCCTTTAGCTGTTACAGAAACAGAACAACTTTGTGACAATAAAACATGTAATTCTAAAGTGACGTGTTAATTGTTATTTCTGCTTTTGTTCTTCTTGCCCCTCCCTCCATTTTCTTCTAAGGATAAACTTCGCTGTTTTTTTCTCCTTCTGTCTCTGTTTATAAACAAATCTTCTTTTTCTCCCTCACGATAGTGTGAAATGGCCATCGGCGGTGACAGACAGAGAGACCAAGAAGTTCATTTCAAAGAATTGAGACCAACAAATATGAAACCTGAAATACTGAGTGGACATATCCCCTCAGGCCACATTCCCAAACCTATCATGTTGCCTGACTATGTGGCGTGAGTATCAATATAAATCCTTCTTCGGGGTAGAAATTGAGAGTTTCCATTTGGGCTTTTCATTTTTCTTTTTGTCTCCGAGTTAATCCTCTCTGCTTGCAGTCATTTCTGTTTGAGCAGCTGTTTGTTACCTGTGAGGTAGCATATTGAGTTGGAGGTGCACAGTATGGTCAGTGAGGAATAAGCTAAACTGATTTCGAATTCAGCTTGTTTTAGTGAACAAGTTATAACTCTGGTTAATCCTTCTCCCTCCCTCCCCCCAGAAAATACCCTGTGATTCGGACAGATGAGGAACGGGAGCGCTATAAGGCTGTGTTCCAAGACCAGTTTTCAGAGTACAAGGAGCTCTCTGCAGAAGTCCAGGCCGTCTTGAGGAAGTTCGATGAGCTGGACGCAGTGATGAGCAGACTGCCGCATCATTCGGGAAACCAACAGGTCAGTGTCTGCGGCTGCCTGGGAACACTGAGAGTGACGAAAGGATACATCTGACCTTTCTTGAAATATAGAGAAGTCATAACCACATGCGTCTGCTGTGTATGTCTAGGGAAGTAAGTCACTTGAGGTCGTCAAGGTGACTAGTCAAGGTTACAATTCAAATTATATAATTTAATGTCTTTGGCCTTAAATTATTAAACAGGATTTTATTTTCTCATTTAAGTAAAGTATAAATTGCATATTTTTATATAAAACTTAGAGTAAAGTTAGAAGGAACATTATATTAGCTGCTCTCAAAAGTTGAATAATCTCAACCTCTTACAATATGTGATAACATGAAAAAGAACTTTCCAACAAGGGTGAAAATGATGCTTAATAATAGCGAGTGTGATCATTATGTGCCAAGCACTTTACAGGCATCATTTCATATAAGTGAAGCTTCTCACAACCCTATGAGGTACTTATGGTTATTACTTCCATTTTACCAATAAGAAAACTGAGTCGTAGGGAGGGGAATGAGCTTGCTCAAGGTCACACCATGGCAGGCAGTGGCACTGGGACTCGCTTCTGGTTTCATGCATGTGGGGCCTTTCCGTCTGTTCACCCCTCAGTGCCTGGCACATAGTAATCCTCACACGTCCAGTGAATTGCATTTTTGTGTATGAATATTGTGATTGCAGTCTTAGGTAAAAATTGTTTTCTGTTCTAATTCCCAGTGTGCTTTGAGACACATTCTTGAGATAGGTTGTGCGTAAATGCAAGTGTTTTAATTTACAATATACTAAGTATACAATATACTATTTTTAGGAACATGAGAGAATTTCAAGAATCCATGAAGAATTTAAGAAAAAAAAGAAGGTTAGTGAAATTATTTTCTTCAAAGTATATTATCCAGGTACAATGGAGACACCTGACAGATTTTAGATTCTTTTAGCTTTAAAAGTAGGTGTTTTTTTTTATTTCTTATTTTGTTGATTTTTTTTTTAGAGCGAGAGGAAGGGGGAAAGAGAGAGAAACATCAATGGGTTGCCTCCTGTACCCACCCCAACTGGGGATTGAACCTGCAACCAGGGCATGTGCCCTGACTGGGCAATTGAACTGTCAGCCTTTTGGTGCACAGGACAATGCTCAACCAGCTGAGCCACACAACCAGGGCTGTTTTTCTGTGTTTCTTAAGACCCTACTTGTTAGGGGACCAGGGGTGCCTGCTGGACACCTTTTCTTCTCACCTTTGTTCTGTTCTGATGGCATTCTGTCGTGTCCTGACTTAGCCACCCAGGGAAAGGAGCACTGATACACCACTTGTCACCCACATTTCCTTCCCAAGGTTCCGTTACTTTACATGTTTCTAACTCCATCCTTCACTTGTTTGCACAAATCAGTAGAGGCCAAAGAGAGCTTTCATTAAACATTTCTATAGTTATTATTTACTTTGCATGTATTTTAAACTACTAAAGTTATAGGTACCTCAGCTCTTTGAACTTCTCAACTTTGCTGTGAACCTAAAACTATTCTAAAAAATACAGTTTATTAGAAACCTGTGGAGAGCTTAGCTGGTTTTCTTGCTAAGCAGATTTTGAAATCTGCTGCAGGAAAATCTGTTAAGAAGGGTCATTTTCTGGGTGATAATGTATGTTTCTGAGTTCTTTGCTGAGGTAGCACAGGCTGACATTAACAACTGTGTTTCTTTTCTAGGACCCTACGTTTCTGGAAAAGAAAGAGCGCTGTGATTATCTAAAGAATAAACTTTCTCACATAAAGCAAAGAATTCAAGAATATGATAAAATAATGAATTGGGATGTACAAGGTTATTCTTAAACCTTATCTGAAACCACTTTTTTAATATCAAACTTAATATTTATTTACTGTCTTTTTTTATGTTAGTCTCTGTGATAGTCAAGAAGCAAGTGCTTCCTGAATCAGCTTTCGGTTGGTTTAGCCAGTCTGCAGTGTTAGAACAGTGTGGTTTCACATCAGACATTTCAGAAAAACTCAACTTTACGAAGAATGGAAGACATACTGAATTCATCTGTGTACAGTTTATGTTTATCTTTGTTGAAATTGAAAGTGATTTAGAGCTCATATCCTGGGGTGTGAGAGAAGACGAGTATCAGTTCTGGTGCTGAGGAAGTCTTGATTCTGGTGCTGTAGAGGATCAACTTTTCCTTTTTCACTCAGGCCGGCTCCTAAGATTTTCTAGGACAAATTTCTCATCCTAGCCAAATGTGTCATATGTTCCCTGAAGAGGGTTTGAAGCCAACATCAACATTTTCAAGCCTGATGATCTTGGCCAAGTTGTGTGATCTCTCGATGCCTATTTCCCCACCTGTAAAACGGGCCTAAAATAGTACCCACCTCATAGGGTTGTTATGAGGATTAAATGCGTAGAACAGCCTGGCACATTCTAAGCACTATATTAGTGTGAAATCTATAGAAATGCTTGTGAAATGAATAAACTATCTAGGATAAGTCTCTGGAAAGGTCCTTAATGAGCAAGCCCTGCCAACTAACCACAAGGCCATGTGTCTCCTGACCTTCCCTGTTGTGTTGTTAATAACTCTAACCACACGTAGCCTTAAGTAGATGCTTTCATTGTGGTTCTGTGCCCAATGGGGTCCAACACAGCCTTCCCATCTTTAATCAGTCTCCCTGTGCACACATCTCCACAGCCCAGCTGTTCCTGTACACATCCCATCTCATGGGACCATGTGGATGTTGTTTGGACATTTTCTCTGCTGTTTGGACGTTTATCCTCGGGCCCCATGACGTTACATTTACTTAGAATCCCCCTTTCACTTATTGGGATGCTTCATCTTCCCAAGAACTATCTTGGCTTTGGGGCTTTATTCATGAGAAATGTTTTATTTTTATTAGTATGAACAATGAACTGCCTTAAAACATTTTTTGAAAATCCTTGTTATTGGATCCTGTTCAGCAGCATTTATCTTGTCATTTCCCAGGTGTAGAAATACAATTTCTGCTCAGTATAGCTGCCATTCAAATAATTGGTGTCCAAAGAATTTTCTAAAGTGAAACTGCAGAAAAACGTGGAAATGCAGAGGGTTAAAAAGTGTTGGTTACTGAATGAACCTCCTAGTTTTTCTTTGTCAATGAAATCTTATTTAATGTTGTTGTTATTTTAATACCATGGTGCTCAGACTATGCTTAGGGCCCTAAGAGTTTTAAGAGGTGACACGTAGGGAAGTGTGAGGCCCCCTCTGGAAGCACACACACCCCCTCCCAACTAGAACAGCATCCCTTTCTATTTTATATATTGAGGCCCCATGCTAACAAACATTTCACTTAAGAGCACCAATGCTTTAAAAATAAAATAGATGAAATAATACATTTTGGTAGACTGTAAAAAATTTAGATTAATATTGAAATGAAGCGTTTAGGAAATTTAACTTTGTGAAACTATTTTACTACAATTGTAAATGTTAATTTTTGAGAAGTGGTGCTGTAACACTGATTTTTTAAAAATTTTATATCAATACCTAGGCATATTAAAACTTGTTACCTGTTGTTTTGCTTTTCTAACATTCCTGTGTTGACTGGGCATGTTCTTGAAAATATTTTCATTATCATAAAGCACGCTGGGAAATCATTGCAAACCTGTAGGTCATGACATTCAGGTGGCTGTTTATTCCTCCCCCATTACCTGTAAGAATTCAAAGTCAAGGCCACTGTGTTGGTTTCCACAGGCTGCCATAACAAAGTACCACAAGCTGAGTGGCTTAAAACAACAGAAGTTTATTGCCTCTCAGTTTTGCAACCTAGAAGTCTGAAATTATGATGTCAGCAGGGCCAAGCTCCCTCTGAAACCTGTGAGGAATCCTTCCTGGCTTCGGGTGGTTTCCTGGCAATCTTGGCATCCCTGGGCTTGTGTACGTATCACCCAGATCCTGTCTTCACACAGCTGTCTTCCTGTGAGGACACCAGGCATATTGGATTAGTGACTCGCCCTCCGCAGGATGACCTCATCTTAACTAATTACACCTGCAAAGTCCCTGTTTCCAAATGACATCACATTCTGAGGTACCAGAGGTGAGGACTTCAACATAATCTTTTGGGGGTCGAAACAACAATTCAACCCATAACAGCCACCTTTGGCAAGGTGTGAAGATTTGGAAGCAAAGATAATTCTCTACATTTTCCCCCTCTTATCTGACTTTAACATATATTCTCATCTCAAAGTTAATATAAGATTATGTCAGTGTGTCTAAAACTGGGAAAGAGGAAAGTATATATTCTTCACTTATTCATTTGCCAGTTATGTGCCAAATGTTTTCACTGAGCGGTTGTTGTAGCATTGAAGATACAGTAGTCGGTAGTCAGATAGAGACCTTGGATTATAGTCTAACAGGAGATCTGAATGAGAAGACAAGAGGTTGGTGATGCAGTACATATTTTGATGTGCATTTCTGGAAATGATTTGTGAAATAAACCTTATATGAGATGCAGCAATGGTCAAAAGATAAACAATACAGGCAAAGTCTGTAATTTTTTTCTGACTCGTCTATTTAAAAAACGATTGGAAAATTTTTTAAAAGAAAAAAACCACAAAAACAAATGAGTATAAAAGCTCAGAAAATAAAAGTCCAACCACTATCAGTTCCACTCCCTGGCGATATATATTGTTGGGAGCATATCCTTCTAGTCTTTTTGTTGTTTGTTTTGTTTTGTTAATCCTCATGGATATTTTTCCATTGATTTTTAGAGAGAATGGAAGGAAGAGGGAGAGTCAGAGAGAGACATTGATTGGTTGCCTCCTGCACGTGCCCTGCCCAGGGCCAAGGATCAAGCCTGCAAACAAGGTACGTGCCCCTGACTGATATTCAACCTAGAACTCTTAAAACTGCTGGCCAAGGCTCTATCCACTGAGCCAAACCAGCTAGGGCTCTTTCTAGTCTTTTTATGATACATACAATCATTTAAAAATTACCAACTTTAATACTTTAAATGTGTTTTCAAAAGAAGAGTATCCGAGAGGCTACACCAGCCTGTGACAGAGCGACTCTCCTGTAATAGAGAATGTAACGGGGACAGTCAAAGTAGGAAGGATGGGTCAGCCCAGCAGAAGGAGAATGTGGGCTTATGAGCCCACAACCAACACATCTCTTACTGTATGATTTTGACAAATGAACCTCTTCAAGCATCTGCTTCCTTATCTGGGGGTGATAATACTGCCTGATGAAAGTGTTGTGAAAATTAAACGCAATAATGTACGGAAAATACCAATTGCTCAATAAGTGGTGGTTGGATATTCAAATATACTTTCATTGAGTTCAATAATGAGTTGACTACTTTAAAGGTAGAATATCAAAATAACTAATAATAACAATGACAAAAGGCTTTTTCAGAAAGTATATGGGTAATGCATTTATTGTAGAAAATTTAGAAAATGAAGATAAGCTTATATTCTTCTAAATACACACAAATGAAATTGCCCATAATTCTACCCCCCTCAGAGATAGTCACTATTAATATTTTGAAACATATCCTTCCATTCTCGTCTTAGTTATATACAGGGTTGGGCAAAAGTAGGTTTACAGTTGTGAGTATGCAAACTGTTTATTGTATTATTTTTTTATAGTTGACACATGTTTTTTATGTGTACATTATCAAATTCCAAGTAATAAATTTAACATGACCAGAAAACGAATTATCCTTGACAATTTCCCGCATACTCTGAGTTAAGACTTGCATTTGCAGTCATCATCAGCGAAGCTCTGTAATCCCACCAAGAGTCCTTGAAAGCATGTTCACACACAACCCAGTCCCAGGTAATGATGGACCAGTATTAAGTAAAATGGCATTAGGGACCATCCTCTCAGATTTCAATAAATTGTAATCTTTTTGCTGGTGGAGGGTCTTGCCTCAATGGTGATGGCTGTTGACTGATCAGGATGGTGGGTGACTATGGCAATTTCTTAAGACAATGAACTTCGCCACATTGATTGACTTCTTTTCATGAATGACTTCTCAATCTGTAGCACTGAGCTATTCTTGTATTATTATTTACTTTTCCATACTCACAACTGAAACTTACTTTTCCCCCTCCCTGTATTTACACAAGCATATTAAATAAAGAATGAGTTTTGGTATTAATAAAATATTTTAAAGTTATATATGCTGTGTTTTGTGTTTTAATTAAGAAATAATAGCCCTAACCAGTTTGGCTCAGTGGATAGAGCGTCAGCCTGAGGACTGAAGGGTCCCAGGTTTGATTTTGGTCAAGGGCATGTACCTTGGTTACAGGCACATCCCCAGTATGGGGTATGCAGGAGGCAGCTGATGGATGGTTCTCTCTCATCGATGTTTCTAACTCTCTATCCCTCTCCCTTCCTCTCTGTAAAAAATCAATAAAACAGTTTTTTAAAAAGAAATAATAAAACTAGATCATGTGATTTACCTGAATTTAGAGTTTGTTTTCTACTTATTTCAATTTAATTCAATTTAGTTATATTATTGTTTTAAAGTTACTGATGTTCATATTGTATGGTGGAAAAACCAAGGAATGGGAGTTAGGTCTGGGGTCAAGCTTAACTCACATTTAAACTCACATTTAAACTCTGTGGCCTCACTTAACTCCCCTGAGCAATGGGAGAAGATGAGATAAAACTATCTGAAATCATATTGTCAACCACAAAACTCTATTAAAATCCTTACATTTAGTTCCACATTCTTTGTTCTGATGTTAAAGTACAGTTCATTATTAATAACTCGAGCTGTTAATGAGTATTTATTATATAATCAGGCTTCTTTGGGGGTCTGTACACAGCCTATTGGCTACACACTGGCATTGAAATACTCAAATTACATCTCCATTTCAACTGATTGCTTTCCTGATCTGCAAGGTCCCATGCTAATGTGAAAGGAGGAAAGAGAAGAGAAGGCTTGGGAATGGGCAGCATTTTCCAATGAACAGGACATGGATTGGGCACCTTCTTTATAAAGAGGGGGGAACGGTCCCCAGATAGAAGGAGCTTATCGTGCATTCTACCTGCAGGTATGTAGTTAAAGACTTAATTCTGTTTGCCCTGTAAAGTAATTTGTTTAATGGATAACCCTACCCATTTACTTGCTTTGGAGGAACTAAAGTTATTGCCAGATGTTAGACCCATAATAGGCAATTACCAAGACAGTAAGATTTGTAAGTAATATACGAGGTTGCTCTTTTTTACACAAAACAAATACACAAAACAAAATATTTTTGTGTCACCGTTAAAACGATAAATATTTGTAATAATTTTGTAGGGAGTTTTGCTAGGAGGATTTAGCAGTCAGGATTCTTAGTTATAAGTCACAGAAACCTAGCTGTGTGATTAAGGAGAAGAAGAATTTATTGCCATCTACTATCTAGCTTACAGAATTGCTGGGAGGGCTGGAGAACTGAGCTGGAGGCTTGGCAGCAGGGACAATGTCCAAAATCACACCTGCAATCCCATCTGGTGAGAACAGCTCTCCTGCTGCCTTCTGTACCAAATGCTCCACCAACCCTCCCCTCCTATGATGCTGGTGGCCCCGTGACTCAGATTCAGGTGAGTCAGTGGGAAGTGGACTGATTCCCAGATTCGTCACTTGGGGAGTTCCCAAAGGTATAAAGGGATTTGGATGCTGACAGCCAGAAAGAAAACAAGTATCACCTACGGAGCAGTAGTTGTCCTAATTGTGAGTATAGTCAGGGATTTATCTTATTCGATTTGGATGCTGACAGCCAGAAAGAAAATAAATATCACCTACGGAGCAGTAGTCCTAATTGTGAGTATAGTCAGGGATTTATCTTATTCAGTTATGAATAGGCCAGATATACAAATGGCAGCCAAGGCCAGAATATCCTTAACCTTAATGCTTCCAGGACTAAGAAAAAAGGCAGGAAGGGTCCCCACTAACGTCCTAGACGTAGGAAATGTGTTCCTGGTCCCCACGGTTGAGATTCAGAAAACACCACCCAAAAGCAATGCAATACAATAATTTCCCGGTCTTTCCAGACTAGGTCAAATCTTTCTGTTATAATGCTTGTATACATCTGCACCTCTTACTGAAGTGAGTACAAATGTTACCATTTGTAAAAGACCGGTCTAGCAGTTTTACTCATGATAGCCCCAAATTGGCGATAAACCAGATGTCCATCAACAGAATAGTAGAAATGAGAAATAAATTGTGGTTAAGTCATAAATACTACAGGGGGAGGGGGGCGGAGAGAACTGCTGTTACACACAAAACATAACACAGTGCTGAACAAAAGCCAGATACAAGTACATACTGCATAATTCCACTTACATAAAGCCCCAAGGCAAAATTAAGTGATGGTGATCTAAGAACAGTGGTTATTTTGGGAAAGCCAATTATTATTAACAGGGAAGGGGTATGAGGTAGCCATCTGGGGTATGAAAATGTGTTATGTACTGCGCTGGATAGTAGTTATATGAGTATATACATATTTAAATATTTCACTCTACCCTTAAGATTAGTTCACTTTATTTTTTTATTATTATTTTAGTTCACTTTATGCACTTAAATATGTCTTTTCTGTATCAATTAAAAACTTGTTTTATGCCCTATCTGGTTTGGCTCAGTGGATAGAGCGTCGGCCTGCGGACTTAAGGGTCCCAGGTTTGATTCCGGTCAAGGGCACATGCCCAAGTTGCGGGCTTGATTCCTGATGTTTCTGTCTCTCTCTTCCTCTTCCTTCTTCTCTGAAATAAATTTTTAAAAAATTTTAAAGTTGTTTTAAAAATCTAGTCTGTGGTGGGAGAATTTTGAGATGATTATTGACTAGGAAGGGGAGTGAAAGAGCCTCTGGGTGCTTTACCTTGATCTGGTTGATTACCCAGGTATTCATCAAGCCAAACACTTAAAATTAGTGCCTTTTTCTGTACATATGTAATATCTCAATTTTTTTTCACAGTATTTCTTAATGGTTTATCAAGAGAAGCAATTCCAGATACTACAAGGTTTCGGGTTCCATCTCCGGTCAGGGCACATACAAGAAGCAACCAATGAATGAATACATAAGTAAGTGGAACAACCTCTTTCTCTCTCTCTCTCTCCCTCTCTCTCTCTCCCCCTCTCTCTCTCTGTTCCTCTCTCAAAATCAATAAGTAAATTTAAAAAAAATATATATTTTATTGATTTTTTACAGAGAGGAAGGGAGAGGGAATAGAGAGTTAGAAACATCGATGAGAGAGAAACATCGATCAGCTGCCTCCTGCACACTCCCCACTGGGGATGTGCCCACAACCAAGGTACATGCCCTTGACCAGAATCGAACCTGGGACCCTTGAGTCCGCAGACCAATGCTCTATCCACTGAGCCAAACCGGTTAGGGCAATAAATAAAATTTTTAAAAAAGAGAGAGAAACTATTCCTTAGCTCAAATATTCATGTTTCATAGTTCAGGAATATGGGTCAGTGATAAACTTCTATGAAATTCAATCCAAAGAGGTTCTTTATATTTCTTTTTTTTTTAATTCTTTACATTTCAAGATCACCTTATGCTCTGAAAGATACCAGCCTTCCTCATCTCCTGAAAATCTTTCATGGAGTCATAATTTCTGTGGAAATCTACAGATGCCTTTTTTTTTTTTTTGGTTTAGGCTCAGCAAACTTATAGAAAGCTGCAACCCCCAGGGATACAATGATGGCTCCAACAATATGAAATTGCAGACGCTTGGTCAGAAAGACACACATCAGAAGTTTTGTCAAAGCACTGGAAGACATGGAAGCTATATTCTCCTCAACACCAGCGTCCTTCATAGCGGAGAAATGGACGATGCTCCTGTAATACCTCAATTTTTAACAATCATATGTATGTTTTAAGAAAAGTATGTTTCCAGTTTAAAACAATGTAAATTTAGAAACACAATCCTTTCAGAAATTGAGAACTGCCTACTGTGCTAGTGGTCTTTGGAAAACATTTACAAAGTTATGGCTAAGACAACAGTTTTACAACTGTTGGTTTAATGACTCATATTTGAAACCCAAGATTGTGTGTTTGTGACTTTGAACCAAACCCCCCAGCTAAGATGGCAGGTTATAACCATTTTCTTCCCCTTACACTCTATGAGCAGTCCCCAAACAGAAACTCTACAAAAGAACAAACCTGAAGATTATTTCTACCTGTTCAAATGCTATCCTAACGCTGTATTCATGCCTATGAAGTCTCTTCGGGCATAGGGCAGGAAAGGGTGTGTGACAGGTGAGGAGAATACTGTTAGTAATGTGTGAAAAACAGCAGCCCTGACCTATTTAAATCTTGTGTGTGATCAGGAAGCCTGCCAATGTTGTTAATAGTCAAGGGTACTCTGGGGATTGTTATTGCTGAAGGGCAAACCCAAGTTAAACCATGGGACAAAGCTATGCAGAACTACCCTAACGAGTATTTGGAAGGTGCCTGCCATGTGATTCAGCCACCCAGAGGCAACAGGGAGGTGGAAATGGTCTGCTGCTTTTCATATAATCAGTGGTGATATCCAGGGTTTTCTTAGAAACCCTTGGGATTAAAATCAGAATATGGACAGATTACCTACAGCAAGAATGTTATTGTAAGGTGTCTGATGTCAACATGCCATATGTCAATAATTCTTCATGAGTCACTTTTATCATATCCCTGTTTCCCTACAGGTGGCTCCTTGATTTTCTTCTGTTCTCGTGATGAGAAAGTGGTGCTGAATGACTGGACTACAGTAATTCCTCTTCATCTTTGTGGCATTCAAGTCCTCAGCAGCTCACATCTAGGCTGGGATGGCCACCTACCTGGTCTTCCCATCTCTGTTTTGTGATGTAAGTTGAACATGCATGAGCCTCTCCCATGTACAAAGCAGATACTTTGCTCATCCTACTCATGAGACCTAGCCATGCTTTCCTTTCATAGCAGTCACTGGTGTGCCATATGCCCTGAACTTTGTTAGAAGCTGTGGAGTAAGTGGTTAGGAGGACTGGCTCTGGAACCAGACTGCCTGAGTCCAAATCCTGACCATGCCACTGACGAGCTGTGTAAACTCAGACACATTACTTCACCTCTTTGTGCCTTAGGTTCCTTATTAGATAATGGGAATAATAATATCATCGCCCTCCTAAGGTTTTTGTGAAGGGTAAGTGAGCTAAAACATGTAAAACACTTAGAACTGTTATCTGAGCCCACAGAATTATAGCAAACATTCACAGATTATTCATAAAATGTGCTTTTATTTTATGTTGTATTTACATCATTGAATTATTTTTGCTTGTGCTAGAGTGGGAGGCTGAAGGATATGGACAGGTGAGGAAAATGCTGTTTGTTAGTAATGTCGGAAAAATACCAGCCCTTTCCTATTTTTGTGGTGTAGTCATAGAATGCTACAGAGCAATAAGGAAGAATGAACCACTCCTACCTGCAAAATGTGACAGAATATTGAATAAAAGCCAGACAAGGGTAGATACTAGACAATCCCATTTATATAAAGCTCCAAAACAGGCAAAAAAAAAAAAAGCAATGGTGATATGTCAGAAAAGGATTCTTTTTCTTTCCTTTTCCCTGAAGCCCACGGCCTTTAAGTGGTTGAGCTGGTTATCAGAATCACCTGGGATGCTATTTTTTTTCCTTTTTATTGGATTTATTGTGGTGACACTGGGCAACAAAATGATATAGGTTTCAGGTGCACAATTCCACATCCCATCATCTGTATACTGCTCACCATCCCAAGTCAAGTCTCTGGTGTGCCATTTATCCCTCCTATGTCCCCCTCCACCTACCCCTACCGCTCCTCCCCCCAGCAATCACCACACTGTTGTCCGTGCCCATGAGTTTGATGCTGTTATTAATTTAAATTCTTAGTTCCCTCCCTGGGATTTTTTCACCAGTTTGGAGTGGGGGCCAGGAATCTGTATTTATGTCTAGCCCATGGGATACCCAGGGAACAAATATTCCAGCCTCCTTCTTCTCCTCCCCTTTCCATGTCCTGCTGGTACCTCCCATTGTCTGAACCCAACAGAAGGCAGAGACAAGGAGCCTGATGATGTAGCCTACCCAGGTCAGCTTCCCGGGTCAGAGCGGAGAAGTGAGGTGAGTAGATGGGGAGGAATCCCAACCAACATCAACTCTATGATTTGAATGCGATTCTTATCCCATTTTACAGTTGAGGAAACTGGGGCCCAGAGCTAGATCCTCAAGATTCCTACACAAGCAATGCTCACTTCTACCTACAGGGCATTACTCTTAATGGGATTTGCATGGCAGCTCTTATGGCCTGGACGCCTCCCCACTGAATGCCCAGCTTATTTAACTCTTCGCCCTTCACATCTTTACCCGTCTTCTATTGCACCATTTATAGTCAGAGCTGCAGAGGGCACAGCTCATTATTCTCCTGGTTCCATAAATTTATAGAATGCTGGAGTCAGAAAGGTAAAGGAGAGAGAGAGAGAGAGAGAGAGAGAGAGAGAGAGAGAGACTTGTTGTTCCACTTATATATGCATTCATTGGTTGCTTCTTATATGTGCCCTGACTGGGAATCGAACCTGAATTCTTGCCATTTCAGGATGGTGCTGCAACTAACTGAGATACCTGGCCAGGGCTGAAGCCCAAATCTATTTCATGTATCCATTTTCCATTTCCTGTCTAGACTGTAAGCCGCAGGAGGTCAAAAACCAAGTCTTTTACACCATCTCTACCTTCCACACCCTTCAGCAGAGTGAAACACATTTCTGATACTCAACAAACTCATGTTAGTTGTTTTATTTGGTTAATTATTATTATTTGAATAACAGATGAACTCTTTTTTTTAATATGGAACTTTTCACACATTTGCATGTCATCCTTGTGCCGGGGCCCTGCTAATCTTCTCTGTATCACAGATGAACTCTTTTAGCATTGAAATCATCTTGCTGAATATGAGAAACAAACATCCTCATTTATAGCTTTTGAATGTCCATTGTCAAAATGTCAAAATTTAATACAGTTCTTTTAAAAAGCAATACCTTGCCTTGGCTCAGTGGATAGTGCATTGGCCAATGGTCTGAAGGGTCCCAGGTTTGATTCCGGTCAAGGGCACATGCACATGCCCGGGTTGTGGTCTCAAGGCAGCAACCTGGACATATGCAGGAAGCAGCCGATCAATTATTCTCTCTCATCATTGATGTTTCTGTCTGTCTCTCACTCTCCCTTCCTCTCTGAAATTAATAAAAATATATATTTTTTTAAAAAAGCAATACCTTCTGCCTGGCTGGTGTGGCTCAGTGGCTGAGCATCGACCTATGAACCAGGAGATCACGGTTCAATTCCCAGTCCGGTGCACATGCCTGGATTGCAGTCTAGATCCCCAGTGGGGGGTGTGCAGGAGGCAGACAATCAATGATTCTCTCTTATCATTGATGTTTCTATCTCTCTCTCCCTTTCCCTTCCTCTCTGAAATCAATCAAAATATATTTTAAAATACATAAATAAGCAAGCAATAACTTCTGACTTGGCAATCTCACTTGTAGGAGTTCATCCCAAGGACAAATTGATGTTTACGGATACATGTTCACCTCAGTGTTTATAATAGTACACATACAAATATGTATGCAGTGTGAGAAACCAATATACAGTCTTCAGACAAGGAGTCCAGGAAGACAATGCCAAACAGTGAGGACTTGATCAATAACTGCCAGTTTCCCTAATTTTTAACCTCCTCCCATACCTTCCAACTTAGGACTAATCAGAGAAAGCCAAATACGCTCCCAGAACCAGTCACACTTCCAGTGAGCCCACCTCCAGCTTCCCCTGCTAATGACCTCCACTCAGGGCATGCCTACAGCCTTTCTTTTCTTTCCACTGTGAAGCTTTTCAACTCCTCCGCCTGCCTTTGAGTCTCTGCCAAATGCATGCTTCCTTCCCATAGCAAGCTCTGAATAAATAGCTTTTTTTTCTTACTTGATCTCATTTGAGTGGTCTTCGTTTATTTTCACAACTGGAAACAACCAAAAAGGTTTGACAACAGAAAGTTTAAATAACTTATGGCATACCTCTATGATGGAATGTTATACAGTGATTAAAAATAAAGTTCTTTGAGGAAGGTGAATTCAATAGGTAAAATGCTCATGAAATAATATTGGATGAAAGAAGAAGGAAGCATAGTTATAGATACAGTATGATCTATATACAATTATACATTGCATATATATTATATGTAGTAGATATTACACACATGTTTTGTGCACACCACAGAAAAAATAATTTAAGGAAATTCACCAAAATGTTAGCAGTTGTAACAGTTGTTTTCTCTGGGTTGGTGACACCATGTATTATTATTATTTTTTTTATTGGTTTTTTACAGAGAGGAAGGGAGAGGGATAGAGAGTTAGAAACATCAATGAGAGAGAAACATCGATCAGCTGCCTCCTGCACACTCCCCACTGGGGATGTGCCCACAACCAAGGTACATGCCCTTGACCGGAATCGAACCTGGGACCCTTGAGTCCACAGGCCGATGCTCTATCCACTGAGCCAAACCGGTTAGGGTGACACCAGGTATTTTTCATTTTCTTTATGTTTTTCAACAATTTCCAATTTTTCCACATTGAATATGTGTCTGTTTTGTAATACAAGGAACTGAATTCTGCCCATTACAGAAATGAGCTCAGAAGAGAGCCCTCAGCTCCAGATAAAAACACAGCTGGCTAACACCTTGATTCCAGCCTGAGCAGAGAAGCCAGCCATGCTTAGCTGGACTTCCAACCTACAGAACTGTGAGCTAATAAATAGGTGCCATTTTAAACTGCTAAAAAAAAAAAAATTACTCTTAACTCTGGCCGGTGAGCTCAGTTGGTTGGGCACCATCCTGTGCACTGAAAGGTTGAGGGTCAATTCCCGGCCAGTGCACATGCCCAGTGTGGGCTCGATCCCCAGTAGGAACTCTCTCTCCACCATTCCTCTCTCTCTAAAAATCAATAAAAATATATTTTGAAAATTTGCCCTTAGTTTTAACATGATTTTGAAGAATTGGTGACTACAAAGTAGACAACTGGCATCTTTCCTATCCCTTCCTTTGTTGGTTCCTCAGTTATAGAACCTTTATGTCTCAAAAAAACCAACAGATTGCAAATTGGGTTTCACATTTTTTCCTACCAGTCAAATTGGTCAAGAAATTTCACCTTCTCACCTGGATGAATTAAAAGACCTGACATTGAGATGACCACCTATGTCCATGCCCTGGTGTCAAGAATCAACTTGAGAATGGATCTATCACATTTGAACTGTACTAAGATACCTGAGAGAAGATTCCCAGATCTTGTCTGTATTTATATGTTTATTTTTTTGTGGTAAATATACATAAAATTTACCATTTTAACCATCTTAAGTGTACAATTCATTGGCATGTTCACAATGTTGTACATCACAACTATCCATTTTCAGAATTTCTTCATTGTCCAAAACAGAAGCTTTGTTCCCATTAAACTACAATTCCTCATTCTTGCTTCCCCCATGATCCCTGATAACTTCTATTCTACTTTCTGTCTCATACATATGAATTCATATGCCTCAGATAAGCGGAATCATACAATATTTGTCCTTTTGTGTCTGGCTTATTTCACTTAGCATAATGTTTTCAAGATTCATCCATGTTGTAGCATGTGTCAGTACTGCCTTCCTTTTTATGGCTGAATAATATTATCGACTTATATGTACATATTACATTTTGCTTATTCATTAATTTGTTGATGGACGCTTGGGTTGTTGTGAATACCATTCAAGTTGGCTATTGTGAATAATGACGCAATAATGATGCTGTTGATACCACATAGGGACCTTGACCCAGGAACCCAAGGATGCCAGCTGATCAGAAGAAACACCAGATAAGCTAACCACAAGAGTGTCACCACTCCTCCACTCCTGGCCCAAGGGTGCAGAAGTAGCCTTTCTTATCTCCCTTCTAACTGCTTACTTTTTTTGCAGATGTCAAAACCAGTAGTTCCTAAGCAACCGACGGAGAAAGTAGCTCAACCCTGACATGGAAAATTCTAAATGCCCACCTTTTCCAAAATGCCTGCCTTGTCCCCAGCTTATAAAAGCAGCCAGTATGCCCTGATTGGGTAGCTCAGTTGGTTAAGAGCATGGTTCCAATATGCCAAGGTTTTGGGTTCAATCCCTGGAATTAACCAATAAATGCATACTTAAGTAGAATAACAAATCTCTCTCTCTCTCATCAATAAATAAAAATTTTTTTAAATAAATAAAGAACAGCCAAGCAGAGCCAGCTCCTGAATCAGTTCGGAGGACTTTCCTTTCCTCTGTGCTGCCTCCCTTGTGCTTGAGCATAAGCTTAATAAAATCTGTCTGAAATTTTCTCTGGGGTTTCCTCTTGATTTTTATCTTGGGGAACCCAAGAACCCCAATGGTGGTAACACTATGAATATTAGTATCTGTTTTTGTCCCCACTTTGAATTGTTTGGGGTATATACCAAGGAGTAAAATTTCTGGATCACATGGTAATTCTATGTTTAATTTCTTGAGGAACCACCAAACTGTTTTCAACAGTGGCTGCACCATTTTACATTCCCACCAGCAATTCATGAAGGTTTCAATTTCTCCAATAGTTGTTATTTTCTTTCTCTGTCTTTTTTAAAAGAGTCATCCTAATAGGAGTGAAGCAATATCTCATTATGGTTTCAATTTGTGTTTCCCTAATGATTAGTGATATTGAACATCGTTTCATGTACTTATTGGTCATGTGTATATCTTCTGTGGGAAAATGTCTATTCAAGTCCTTTGAGAGAGAGAATCAACCATCTCTTGACTCCCACACATCCCCCTAAATGGGAATCTAAACTGCCACTTTTTGGTGTTCAAGACAATGCTCTAACCAGCTGAGCCACACTGGCCAGGGTGTAAGAGTTCTTTATACATTCTGTATTTGATTTAGTTTTGAACTTGACTAAATCCATCTCTTTATTAATCAGAAGACTTATAAATATAGATTCCAGCCCTGCTGGTGGGGCTCATTAGGTTGACTGTCAGCCATGCACCAAAAGATTGTTGGTTCAATTCCTGGTCAATACACATGCCTGGGTTTCCAGCTCAATCCCCAGTAGGAGGCCTGCAGGAGGCAGCTGATCAATGTTTCTATCTCTCACTCCTCTTTTCTTCTCTCTCTAAAATTAAAACAACATTTAAAAAATTAAACACACACACACACACACACACACACACACACACACACACACACACTAGAGGCTCGGTGCATGAATTCGTGCATGGGTGGGGTCTTTCAGGGTGGCCTGCAGAGATCAGGCCCCAGCTTGCGCCCACAGCCTCGCAGCCCCACAGCCCCGCCTGGCACCCTGCCTTGGCCTGGTGCCACCCCCTCACCTGCTCCACCATCCCGCTGTGGTCCTGCTCTCATCAGGGCCCATTGGGGCCAGTAGCACCTCCACTGCCACCAGCTGCCAGCGCTGCGTCGCCAACACCCGCCATGTTCCACATCGCCCCCTGGTGGTCAGCGCACCTCATAGCAAGCAGTCGAATTCCCAGTCAAATTAATGGTCGAACGACCACCCATGGGGACAATATGCATATTAGGCTTTTATTATATAGGCTTTTATTATAGGCTTTTAGAATAATCTGAACTAAATTTTCTTCAGAAGCAAAAATAATATGAAATAATATAATCTGATGAGGTTTTAATGATAGTGGAGTGTACTTAGGTCAATAGAAGTTTCTGCTAAACTGCTCTTCTGGACTGGCCAAATTAGTTAAGAGCAGTAAGCCAGAAAAAAATGTTAAGCAACAAAAGACAAGACTTGTTTCAGACCTGTGTTTTCTGTGTACCTTTGTACCTAAGCCTGCTGCTGGCCTCTCTACTCCTAGCCTTGGTGTCCAAAAAAACTGGTAGGAAATTAAAGAGAAGTTTCAGGGATGTTTTGGCTTGTCGTGGAGGAAGGAGTGCTCCAGGAAATCATTTGGGGATCTTCTAGGTAAAAAGACTCTGAAGAAATGGAGACTATACTTGGGGAACATACTATGAGAATAGGAATGTAATTAGGAGTACATTATGGGAGAGCACTTTCAGAGACATTGAGAGAATGACCCTTCAGATATAAACATTGAGTTAGAGGATATGAAACTACTTATTCAGCAGTAAATATTTGGGGCCAGGGTTTTTAAATTAAAACAAACCACCAATTATGCTTTTCACCCCAGAACTGGTTTTAGGAACACTATCCTGTGGGAATATTGCAACTGGGGAAGTTATTTTAAGAGGCAATCTAAATATTTACTTTCATGCTGTAACCTTTGCCTTATTTGTAGTCTAGTTTAAGCCTTTAGACTGTAGACAAGATACAGGCATTTAGGTTTTGAGATAGTTACATGAATATTAAAAATAACTGGAGCCCCATGCTAACAAAAATCTATCTTTTCAAAATAGCAATATAAAAATTGGTTATATCTAATTTTAGAAATATGTAGAAAATATAATAAATAGAAATTATTTTTATGTAGTATTTCATTATAATTATTCAACGTATATTCCAAACAAGAGGAGGGAATGCTATTTTAAAATTCTACCAAAGCCTGCTAATAAGTTCTTTACAATTATGAATAAGTAACTTTTAAACTTCTGGATTTTATTAATCTATAAACTAGCTTTTTAAAAAAGGGCCTAAATCATATATATGTAGTATATAGGTTTAATTTACTGTTATGTTGTATAAAATATACAATTTAATTGAGAGGAAAGTGGTATAGAGTGGTTTATTATAAAACTTAAAAAGAAAGAGGACATAGGGTAAATATTTTCTTATTAAATCATTGCCTGGAGTTAGGCCAAGAAGTGAAGAAAGGTTTGTAAATGTTTGTTTTTGTTTCCATTGAAAAATGCAAACTTTGTTATTTTGCCAGCTTTGAAAGTCTGTCTTTTTTTTCTGAGGGGCTGGGGTGGAGTCAGTTGGAGGGTATGGCCTAGAAGTTCAACAGACCAGGAGGAGTGTTACTTCCTTTTCTTCAAGTTTTAAAATCTGTGGATGGCTAGGACCAGTCTCCAAGGATAAGGAAAGGATGTGGCGTCATAACTCTTAGTAACTTGGAGAGCAGGACCCGATCAATTGAAGTCCTAGATTCAGTTCATTATTACTTTTTTTTTAATTGTTATTTTCTTTTTTTTTAATTAAATCTTTATTGTTCAGATTATTACATTTGTTCCTCTTTTTCCCCCCCATAACTCCCCTCCTCCCAGTTCCCACCCCACCCTCCGCCCTCACTCCCCACCCACTGTCCTCATCCATAGGTGCACGATTTTTGTCCAGTCTCTTCCCGCATCTCCCATTTCCCTTTCCCCCCCAAGAATAGTCAGTCCATTCCCTTTCTATGTCCCTGATTCATTATAATCACCAGTTCATTCTGTACATCAGGTTATTTATTCACTTGATTCTTAGATTCACTTGTTGATAGATGCATGTTTGTTGTTCATAATTTGTATCTTTACCTTTTTCTTCTTCTTCCTCTTCTTAAAGGATACCTTTCAGCATTTCATATAATACTGGTTTGGTGGTGATGAACTCCTTTAGCTTTTCCCATTATTACTTTTAATCCAGGAAGGGGGGATAGGGCAAAGTCTGTGGCTCTGATTGTGACTCGATTTCTAAGGACATGCCCTACAAAGAACCCACTCTGAGATGCTCTTTACCAGGAAATGACTCTGCCTTAATCCCATGGGAATACTGAAGCACAGAGGTCTCAGAGAAACTCTTTGCTTCCTTAAATTAAAAAAAAACGGGTGGGGTCAGATCTATTTTTCTTCCTAACGCTTGCTTCTAAATGTTGGAATTTTCCTCACAGTGAGAAAGTTTTACATTATGAAGGCTGGGTCAAGGGAGCCCCTCCCACGTGAATAAAACACTCACGTAGAACACAGCCTGCTGTTTTCCTCTTGGCAACCCTGCACATCCTTGACTCCCTCCAACATCCATTCATTACCAGGTTTTACATCCTAAATAGCTCTCAAAGCCCTTGTGTCCCAAGGCCTTTCATTCATGTATTCAACAGATTTATCAACCATCCACTGTGTGTCAGACTGTGCTAGCTGCTGCAGATACAGCAGTAAACCAAACTCCAGTTTGGTTTGGATTGGGATATCAAACCATGCACATCTTAAAGTCTGGTTCCTTGAAAATGATGGCTGAAAAATCCTATTGATGCAAGTAAGCATTGTAAAAAGCATGTGATTAGCAAAACTTAACACCAAATTGATAATAATGAAGCTAAACTAACAATAACTGAGATTTTTAAAAAAAAGATTAAGGCAACCTAATACTTAAAGACCAACCTGAGTCAGCATTGATAATGCACCCTTAACAAGCCTTTTGAGCTTGACAACTGAGGAATTCCAACTATCTGGGTATTTACACAATGGGAACTTTGCAAATTTACTGGCAACTCAACTTCTCAGTACAATGCTGAATCGCTGAATGGATTCCTGTGTAAACTTAAGGGTCAACACTCT